AAAAGATGAATACAACAAACTAAACTAGGATCTAGAAAATAGAAACTCAAAACAGGCAACAAGGAAACAAACCTGGAACTGAGCTCTAGGCAGGCGCACAAGGGAAAAACAGCAGTGAGGATACATGATGGTGTGACGTGACAACAGACAGAAGAAAACACAGGGCTTAAATACTCAAGGGAGTAACGAAGGACTCAGACACAGGAGGAGAGCACAGCTGGGATCAATCACACATAACGAGACATGGGGGAAGCAAAACTGAAAACATTAACAAAGGACGGGAGACTATCAAAGTAAAACAGGAGATGAAGACTAGACAAGGAAACATCACCAGACCCAGTACCGTGACTGTACTCTTTATTCCCAGCCTGCATTCATGGCCTTATCTGGGAACATCTCTTTTTCCAAGGAAAATCACATAGTTAAATTGAACATTAACAAACTGTGATAAGGTTTCACAAGTTTTTTCTTCAAGGCTAGTGCAACAATTTATCTGTTGGTAACCCATTACAATAAAATATCAAAAACACGTGTTAGTCCATTTTCAGTACACTCTGATAACAGCATGTTTACGGGAAATACAGACCTCCCACGCTGTCAAACTGTCAAAATTGTCTGTATGTCTCATTGTGCTCATATGCCTTGAATTCAAGCTCTTAAAAACATGATTTGGGGATTCTTTTGACTAAATAGTCAGATAAAACATAGTATACTGTTTATCACAGATCAAAGTTATCAAGAACATTTGTTTAGAAACTATTTTAAATTCTTATACAGTCACATAAAGTAAACACAGAAGTGTATGTGTATGGAGGAAATTATCCGTTGTTATACTTGCTTCTGCTTCTGATAGTTATACTTCCTTCTGCTTCTGATACAGCTCACATTACCCTGTATCCCTGAGCTGTGCAATCTTCATCTACAAACTTCACTTGGTTCTTTTCAGGAACACAGTCTGCAGGTTTCCCAGCATAAACCTGCATGTTCCAATCATAACTGTTCCAAATTATGTGATAGTCGTGATTTACCGGGTGTGAGTGTTTGCTGCTGAGAGTGTGGGAGAAGGGCACAGATGGTGGTGCACCTCAACCATATGCTTTTGATAGCCATTAAATCTGAACATTATTTATTGAGATGGAGAAATTTATTTATTTATTTGACCCATCATGGCAGAACAGAATCCGAGTGGTGACAGGATTTAGGACAGGAGACGGGGAGGAGGTGGTCCATCACTGTTACTCAAATTAGCAGTTTAACAGCCGAGTTCTTGGAGGCGCAGTCATTGGTGTACAGCAGGAGCAACAGTGGTGAGAGGACCGAGTTTCAGAGGTGATCTCCCCCAGCCTCACTTGCTGCTTCCTGTCTGTCAGGAAGCTGGTGACATGCTGAGCTGGGAGAGTTTGTAGGAGAGAAATTCAAGCACAAAAGTAAACAAACAGGACCCTGGCATAAGTTCCTGGGCGGTCGAGATGTTGCAGGATGTTTGAGGCAAGGAGGGTGAAACTCCATCTGGTACAGGGGCTTTCATGGACTTGTCTTTCTGAAACAGTTGGCTCACATCCTGAGTGTGTATTCTGAGTTCCAGGGAGGAGGAAAGACGGGTGAGAGGTGTGATGGTGGTCGTTGAGTCTGGATTGGGGATGTGAAGGGGGAAAGGTGGAAGGCGTGTTGGGGGTCAATGTCTGAAGCAATGTCTCTGGGGAGGGGAGGGTGAGGGTTGAGAGTCTGTCCGTCTCAAACCTGCAGTACAATGTATAGAGATTGACAGACTTTCACATTTTACAGACAGACTTTCGCGCATTGCAGGTACGAGTGGCAACAAAATCAAAACACTGCATCAAGCGCCAGCATTTCCAGCACCGGTAACCATTAATTCTGCGGTTTTAATCCCTACTTGCATTTTATTTGCCCCAAAAACAGTTCTGTACAAAACGACGGAGAACTCGGCAGGTCCGTACAAAGACAGACGTGACGAAAAGGCAAAAAAAAAAGTACGAGGAAAAAAATCAAAGGAGTGAAAGGGTCAGACCCATACGAGCATACAGAGTGGAGTAAGGACGTTAGCGTGCTGCCCAACTTTCATCACGCACATATTTATTATTATATGGTCCTAAGTGTGAGTGCATACACTCACAAAATGTTTAGTAACTTCAGATCCCTGCAACAAGCCCAGGTCCAGTTTACTTTGGTGATTTGGACTATTCCATTTCACAGCTGTTGTTAAATTTTTCCTTTATCTCCTGTACAGGCAAACAATCTATTTGTCGTTTCAGGTTGTAGTATTACACAACATTTTCAGATCCAATAGAAATAAAATAAGTGTTTCGTAATTCATTCAATTTATTGTCTTTATTTATAACTGGCATTATTGTTTCATTCTGTTATAAAATCTTACAAGAAAGAGGCAAAATTATAAAAATCAATTATGCTTTATTAGCTGCTTCGGTGAAAAACAAATCAACAATGCAACAAAAAAACAAAACAAACAAACATTGCAAACAACATAGTGGAAAACATTTATTCATCACTTGATTGCTTCAATACAACCCTTGGGCACATATATGCGAGACTTTTCGTGGCTGTTTTGATATCGCTCTCTCTCTTAACCGATCAAATCTGGCTGTGGTAGCAGCTTTACACTTGGTCTGACCCAGGCTGATAGAGGGTGCCCAGTGTTAGAGTTTGTATTGTTGATTGTCATTTATGCTTAGAAATATTTACTTATATATGCTTAGAGTTTTGTAATTAGTTGTAGATTGGTAGAGGTTTTGATCCTTGATAGTCTGCAAACTTTGTGTGTATTAGACAGCACTTTGGGAGCATGAGAGGTCATACCGTGTCTTATTGTTTTACGGCAGGATCAACGTAGTTGCGTCTGTTCTAGTCTAAGTGCTCTTTGTTTAGATGAACTGCAGGACTTCCTCACCGTGTTATCTAGGATGAACCATCTAGGGTGAGGGGGAGGCTACCCTCTTCCTGACCAAGGATGTTTGACCCTTTGATCAGCAGTCCACACACACACACACACACACACACACACACACACACACACACACACACACACACACACACACACACACACACACACACACAAGGTACTCTTTGTGTTTATGTAAGACGTCATATGTTAATGAACCTATGCATATTCATGTAACCTCAATAAAAGGACAGTGTACGGGAGGACGGACGAGAGCAACTGGGGTCAAGCGAAGGAACGGTGCCTGTCCGGTTCTCTCCCGTGCACGAGAAACATGAAGAAGCTTGCCTACTTGTGTCTTGCTTTGCAGTGTAATTATATTGTCTTCAACGTTCCAGCGGATGGGTTCAAGCTACAAACCTATCAGCCCATCTGGATCACATTCCTGCATTTTGTAGGCTGGTTTTCCTACAAAACACAACAAACATTAGCCCGCAAAGCCACAGTGAACAAAGCAGCATAGCAACAAATTCAATTCAAATCAATATAAGACTTATTTGTAACCTACATCAACAATTATGTTATGATAAATTACGTAATAACTACAACAGAAGACTGACCTTTGTGGAAATGCTTGGAGCAGACTAACATGTGAGCTGGAGTGTTCTGGGACGTTATATTTGGTCTTCGAATGGCTGCAATCCAGGCCATCCGTCGGCTCTTTGTTACTTCGGAAACATGGCTTGAACAATTTCTCTTCCACGACGTAATCCGATAACAACTGATCTCTTTACCCGTCGGCTTCCCGTGGCTGACATGCAACCGGCTATTGCAGTTAATAATACAACAGCTTCTTGCCAATCTTTGTCTCTCTTTTTGTTGCTGTGTGACTGTTTTCATGTGAAAGCCTGTGTGCCACTCGTACCCACAATCCTTTGCGGTTTTACGTCCATTTTCAATCATTCAGGGGTAAAACCGCAAAGGATTCTGGGAACTCGTGGCAAGAGGTACTAGCGCACACAGGCTTTCAATTGAAATCAGTTACACAGCGATAAAAAGAACAAAAAATGGCAAGAAGCTGTTGTATTATTAACTGCAATAGCCGGTCGCATGTCAGCCACGGGAAGCCGACGGGTAAAGAGATCAGTTGTTATCGGATTACGTCGTTGAAGAGAAATTGTTCAAGCCATGTTTCCAAAGTAACAAAGAGCCGACGGATGGCCATCAGCCCATCTGCCAGGTCTTAGTTTGCTTCCACAGGGGGTGGGGAGTGTCTGTAGTCGGTGATTTCCTGCAGGCCCCTCTACACTGACGCAGGGTTGTTGGCTGAGAGCCGTTCTTTTAGCTTCTGGGAGTAGATCCTTTTGGCTGCTTTGATCTCCGTGGTCAGTGTGTTCCTGGCCTGCTTGTACAGGGCCCTGTCACCACATCAGTGCAGTCAAAACAGTCCTACAGTTCCTGCTTTGCTGCGTTAGTCCACTTCTTCACAGTTTTGACAATAGGAGTGTTGTGCAGAATCCCGGCTGATGCTACACCCCTGAAAACAGGGGGAAAAGAATCACGAGAGTGATTATGACTTGCGTCTCTCATGCAGTAGTTTATTGCAGTGAGGAGAACGCGCGAAAGCCCCCTAGTGGAGAATAGAGACACTACTAATCGATCCCAGAAAAGGCTTACTAGCCGATCAGTGATGTATAGATTGCAGTTCTCTTAAGTAACATGAAAGCCATTAATATAACATGAAAAATAATAAACTCTTAACCATTTTCTTACCATATTTACATTATTTGTCCTTATATGAACTGATATGAATTAGTATTAACTGAACAGTTTTATATGCAGTAGTCCTTCAACCTGTCACACTGAGTACAGGGTGGGCCATTTATATGGATACACCGTAATAACATGGGAATGGTTGGTGATATTAAAGTCCTGTTTGTGGCACATTAGTATATGTGAGGGGGCAAACTCCTCAAGATGGGTGGTGACCATGGTGGCCATTTAGAAGTCGGCCATCTTGGATACAACTTTTGTTTTTTCAATAGGAAGAGGGCCATGTGACACATCAAACTTATTGGTAATGTCACAAGAAAAACAATGGTGTGCTTGGTTTCAACATAACTTTCAATTTAACTTCAACACCAGGAGACCAAGGCGATAAATGGCCAGGACATTAAACTGAGGCTCAAGCTGAGCAGTAAGGATCACACCAATAAGGTGTTGTCTGTCCGTGTCAACGCTCAGGCCATGAGGTACAACGGCAATCCAGCGGACAACATCCTGAACAAAGTGCAGCACGTGACACTTCTGTCTGGACAAGGTCTGCAGTTCTTATCTTACAATTTTGTTCAGCATTGTAATTTATTTGAAAAAAAGAAATGATAGATTTCTATGATTTGAGGCTGCTACTTCAAACTCCACCCCAAGTCTCAGAAATGAAAGAAATTAGAAAGAAACAAGAAATTAAAGTTTCCTGATGATACCATGAATCTCTGGATCAGTTCTCACATTCCTGCCTCTCACTGTATGTCCTACAGATGTGGCCATACCTATCCAGATCCCCTTTGCAGATTACAGTAAATATATGGTGAACTGCGACAGCATAAAGGTTTCAGCAGTGGCCAGTGACAGTGATGAATACTACCAGACTGAGACCAACATCACCCTAGAGCAACCAGTCATCTCCATGAAGGTCATTAAAATCCTAATTTTGTGTGTAATATAAGGAAGTGTGTGATTTTATAACACAGGAAGTGAAAGCAGATTCAAACTAATGTCATTACTTGGTAACAAAGTATGTGTTCATGGTATACGGTAGACTGGCTGTGTCGCATGGCCTTACAACGATAACTGCTGATTGGTTATTTGACAGTCAAAAAAGCTTCACCTGAACTCAGTTGATGAACAGGTTCTATGAGATTCTGAAAATTCTGGACTTTGTTCTATAATTTGCTGCACATTAATGCTGTACTATATCTGTGCTTCTTTTAGGTTTTGTATCCAGTCCATGTGAACCGTGAAATGACATTGGAGGTGGAATTTAAAAACCCGCTCAATGAGAGGCTGAGAAACTGCTCCCTGACAGTCATTGGATGTGGCCTTTTTAAATCAGACTATATACAAAGGTCAGTACTGAGACTTAACATACAATCTAACTCATTACAATCACAGGGTATAAGGAACAATGTGATTGTCTGGAGCTAATGATAATATTTCCCATCTTCAACCAGATGCTTTTTGTGAAACAGTAATTTGCTTTCTATGTGAGAGTTACAAGAACAAATACTGATTCTAGTCAGATTTAATTTCATCATCTCAGCAGTTCAATAATACTGGTTAAAAAAAACCCTCTTTATTTTCCTTGTACTCTGCCAGTTCACTCATTTTCATTTGGTTTAATATTGATGTTAATGCAGTAACCTCATTATGTAAAATATCTTTAAAACAACCCTTTTAAACCATAAACTATTGATGCTTGTGTAAAGATGAAACAAATTCATGGAAATTTTCTTGTAACTTTAACTTATTTAATTCAAGCCATCGTTTGTCTGCCACGTGTCTGATATGTTGCCACAGAAAAAGAATTAAAAATCTTCAAAAAGGAAATAACGAGAGAAATAATCCATTAACTACTCATTTTTGTATACGTAGCCTTTTGTTTTGATTAAAGTTGTGTTTTAAAGAATTGAAGTGGCCACAAAAGACTTTCAGATTTTGATTCATGCTGCATATTTTAGTGCTCTAAACAAATCTAAATTTTCTTTTTTCCTCCAGTCTTCAAAAGAAAAGAAACATTTCTAACTTACAGTGCTATGTTGTTGGTAGTGCCACCAAGTGTTGTTCACCAATAAATAGTTCCAGCTCACAATTCCATTTTGCATAAAGATAAAAAGAAACAGCATGTTAATCCTAATTACTGCTTACAGACTGCTTTTGTAAAGAGTTTAGCTAAAGCTAGGCAACAGTTTTCCTTTATTCACCCCCAAGCTAAATTGGCTTAAATAGCCTAGGTTCTCATCCAAACAGGGCTTGAAGTAAAATTAAAAAAAAAAATAATCTTTTTCTATTTACAGTGACCTGGGTGAGGTAGAGCCAAAGGCCACACTGAAGCTCAAGATTACACGACTCCCTACAGAGTTGGACTGAAGACCGTGGTTGCTGACTTCGACTGCAGCAGCTTCAGAGACATAAAGAGCTCCTGCATCGTTGACGTTAAACCATGAAGCTCTGGTTTCATTTACAGCTCCCTGTGCGTTTCTGTTTCTTTATTTAGTTTAAACTGGGATAGATTAATCTACTACACCTTGTTATAACTATCATCCACAGTAACGTTACTATCCATAGTCAAGGTTTTGTTTGTTTTTTTCCACTGGCTGGGATATAATCAAGTAGATTTTTTATTTCAAAGATGCAAACTGCCCAACATTTTCGGGGATATGCTTTGGGACTAACAGTTACCATAATTAATAATTAATGAGTAATGTAATCATTTTAATAAAAGAAGAGGGAGAAAAACGATTTCCTGATATTGCTTTGTAGCTTTTCTCTGTTTGTGCATTAATTATTATTGGGTTTAAATGATTGTGGGAAAATTATGAAGCTGTATTTTAGACAACTGTTTAAATCATTTACTCATCTCTTATACA